AGGACTACTGCACCACATTTAGCTCAAGCAGCCGCTCGCAGAGACCCCGGGCCTTGCCCTGGCTGCGCCCCCCGTCACTCACAGGAGCAGCCGGTCCAGGTACGCAATGGCGAAGGGAGACAGAGATTTGATGCCCAGCACAGGCAGCATGATCCCCAGCCACACTGTAGGGACAAGGGGAGGGAGGGAGGCTCAGGCCTGCACCCAGGGACACCGAGAGGAGCTCCCTGCTCGAAGACCACCCCTCTTTCTTCCCCACCTCCCCATTACCTTTCAATCCCTCGGTGAGGTTGGCAAAGCCGGCTTGGCCTAGGGCCCACATGATGGTCAGACATTTTGCTGGTCGGCTCTGGTGGGACCGCAGCAGTTCCAGGAACTGAGGAGACCGGTGGGGAAGGCAGTTTGGAAAGGGCAAAGCCCCAGACGCGCCCGCTGAGCCAGGTGGGGAGAGCCCACTGGGAGAGGAGGGCAGGCCGTGGGGCAGTGGGGCACTACGGCAGCGCAGGGCAGTGATTCAGAGCATGGGCCCCGCCACGCTCTGCCACTGAAGCCCTCTGAGGCTCAATCCTCCCATCTATAAAACGGGAATAATCCTAGTACAGGCCTCATACGACTCCAAACCAGGCACGCACTGAACGCTAACAGTACTACTTACTGTTACTGGTCTCCAAGTGTCTTCCACTACCCCACAACCAAGGCCAACAACGTAGGTTCTGCCCAACCCCCACAGTCCTAGCTTCCCGGCACCCCCAGCGCCACCCGGAGCTCACCTTGCCCAGGTTTGCAGTGGCAATCTTGGGCTTGTCCTGCAACATGGCCTGGATACAGATGCGGTAGCCGTGTAGCGACTCCCCTGGAGAGACGCATGTTCTCAGACCTGCTCACGCCACCTGGCAGCTGGGAGTTAGCCCCCGTGAGCCCCTACTTGCTCCTCCCCTTCCAAACAGCGTGTCAGGATTAGTTTATTTCTCTGCTGCAAACAAGCACTCAGCCACGTCGCACGCAGGGGAAAAGCAGACTTCCAAGCGGACAGCTCCTCCCGTGCCCTCTCACCTGGAGTCTTATCCAACTCTTGCAGCATGGTGAACAGACAGTGGTCAAAGAAGAGCTCCAGGGACCCCGCTGCCTTGGTCAGTAGTCCTCGGATGATCCCGCGCAGCTCCCGGCTCACCAGGCTGTAGGGATAATCTGGGGTCCGCGGGGATGAGTGACGGGACCAGACACCCCTGCCAGCTCTGGGAACAGGGAGTGAAGCGCAGGTCCCTGCACTGAGCCTGGCATCCTCCCTCTCCCAGGGGGCCCAGACACTGTCACAGCCATGATGATTAAACAGGAGCTCAAATCATCCATGAGAATCGAGACAGTGGGTGGCAGAGGGCTCTTTGGGAACACGCAGCCCTTCTAGAATTTCCTTGAACTTGTCTGAGCTTGAGAGAGTTGGGAAGACTAACCATGAGGGTGCTGGCTCAGGGTGGGTTCACTTAGAGGAGCTTGGAGCTTGTAGTTGAGATAGCTGGCCAGGTCCTTCAACCATACGGATGGGTTCCCAGAGAACACACTCTGGCTCTTGTCCAGTTCCTTCTGCAGGGCTGCCACATCCAGCTGCCAGGGACACCCCCCACCCAGGGTGAGTTGTGAGTGAGGGGAGGGGAAATGGTGGTAGAAAGAACAAAGGCTTTCTGTTTTTAGGCACAAATGGAATTGTGGACTGTCACAACTTGGAGGCACCCGGATCTTTACAAAGTACTGCTCTCAAGGCCCCGTACTCGCAGGCCTTTGGCACGCTCAAGAGGTAAAGCAGAAGACAAAAATCAAAGCTCACTGCTTCCACAGGAAAGGAGCCATAACCGGCTTCTCTGGCCCTCCCTGGGGTCCCTGGGTCTTTAAGGCTTTCCCCTCTCAGGTCTGCTCCCCCAGAAGTTCCCACTGCCCCTCTATTCCACGCGCAAGCGTTCCCTGGGACTGCTGTCCTCTCCCGGCCCACCTCTCAGCACCCTGTCCCACACCCACAGGCCCCTGCCCCCACCCCGTCCCCGGGCCCACTCACGGCTCTCAGAGCCTCCTCCAGGCTGCGGAAGCGGCCCTGCTTCTGGTTCTGGCTGGCAGCAGTCGCCACCTTCTTTGGCTGCTTCTTGCTCACTGGCTTCTTCGGCTCCACAGCAGGGGGTGGGACCTGCTCCTTATTCTGCCGTTTCATGATTTTCTCGAAGCCGCGCTCATACAGGGTGCTTGTGGTCTGGATCGCAGCTGGGGTGGAGACAGGCAGAGAAAGGGGGCCCACCCCTGAGTCCCCTGGGCCTCACAGGGCGAGCAGTCCCTTCCCTCACAGTGTCACGTAATTCAGGGAGCAGCCAGGGAGTCTTCGCGGTTGTGGCTTTTGGCTGTCACAGCTCTGGAGATGACCGCTCGTGCAAAGAGATGGGGCAGTTCTTTATGGGACAAATCAGAAGATGTGGGAACCAGCAGAGGGGCGGGATTCAGAGGAATGGCTACTTTGGTGAGTGGCCATTCGTCTGGCTGGGTTCGTCCCCGACCCCCCGGGGCTCCGAAGTGACAACTCTGTAATAATCAACAAGTGGCAGGTTTTCTCCACGCCTCCAGCCCGGCGGGCGCTGCTGAGCCCGTGGCTGGTCATTTCTCCCCCTGCTGCACCGCTGGTGACTAAAGGAGGGGGGCGCCGGGTCTGCGGCCCCGGGATGTCCCCTCCCTGCTCTGACACCTGCCCATGAGGCCAGCCAGTGCCCGGGCCAGCTGGGAGGCTAGTGTGCAGCGGCCCGCGCGTCGGAGACGTAATCCCGACCCCTCCAGCACGCGGTCCTGGGCAAGGGGTCCAATTTCTCAGTCTATTCATCTGCAAGGTGAAGTCCTCCCCTGACCCCCGCCTCGCTGTGCTGTCGGCCTCTCGTGAGGCTCCAAAGACACAAGGCGAGGGCGGCGCCGGGGGCCAGCCGGCTGGCCAGAGCGCGGAACGCCGGCGGTGCTCAGCCCCTGGGCTCCGGGACCTGCTCGGTGCTCCCCAGCCGGGGGAGGCCAGGGTCGGCGGGCGCGGGCGGCGAACCGGGTGGGTACTCACGGGTCAGGTCGTACTTCCACACTCCGTTTGCCTCCCCGAGCGCCCGACGGTCCCCGCCGCCGCCTCGACCACCGCCGCCACCGGCGGACGCAGGCCGCCGGCCCTTCTTCACCACTTCCCAGCGCCCCCCACCCGCAACACTGGCGGCCATGGCTGCGGCCCTCGCCCCTGCCACCTCCCGGCTTTCCGGCGCGCGCGGGCGCACCGCGCTCTGCCACGTCTCTGTGGCCGGCGCGCCGCCGCAAGGCAGCCTGGGACTTGTAGTCTCGGCTCCGCCGGGCCCGCCCCGGCAGAGATGCGGAGACGCGAGGCGATGATTCAGGAAGCCGGCCCTGGGCACCTGCTGCGGGAAGGCCACTGCGTTGGGTGACGTGGTGGACATTTGATGAAATGGAAATAGTTCTCACCTCTAGAGAGAGTCGGGAGACGAAACGCTTCCTTTCTTCTAGGGAAGTGCTTGTTTTTTAGTGATTACACTAAAGCTACTGGCACGAACAAGAGGCATGGGGTTGAGGGAGGCGGTGGAGTGTCCATAAGGCCAGAGGTGGACGATGGAGCCCTTTTCAGGGGAGGCAGAAGAGCCTGGGCATCTGGGACTGCGGAGGGAGGGCTGGCCCGGCGCCCGCCCTGAGTGCCGACTCCAGGGTCCGGTGGTGAGGAGCCCCAGCCCGCAGCAGCCATGCGGACGGCGGCTTTGGTGCCCCCTGAGACCTCAGAACCTTGCAGGAGAGGGTGAGGGGAGGTGAGATGTGCTACCGTGTGCATCTGTGTCAGGGCGAGGGTCCTACTGCAGAGTAGGAGTTCAGATTCCCACGGGCTGAACAGCTAAGGGGCTGGTGGGTGCCCTAGGAAGGAGATTAAAGAACGCTTTGTGAGGGAGGGGGCGGTACAGCTGGGTCCTGAGGGTTTTCCTTGGTTGGGGGTGTGGGGAGGGGTGGGGAGAACACGCCAGTAGTTGGGTTCTGTGGATTTAAACAGAGGCCTAGAGGGTGGGCAGCAGGGTGTCGTTTGCCCTGACAGTGCTCACTGGGACGCTGGAGGTGCTGCAGTTGGGAAGGGTCAGGGAAGGACTGTCTTCTTCCTGGAGCGCTCTAGCAGGTTATCGACTGTAGCTTGGCATCCAGGGGACGGGAGCCACTGATGCATTCGGCTCCTGTCCTAATGTGGCAGGGCCTGTGCTGGGCGGAGCTGCAGGGCTGCACCTCGCTGGCGTCCGAGGAGCTCACAGCCGGCGTGGGAGACGGACGTGTGAACACAGAACTGCACTTTGCCCTAAGAGGTCTGAATTCGGTGCAGGTTTCCACCATCGGGAGCGAGTCGCGTCACTGTGGTTCTCAGGCCCTTTGGGGGAACTCGCATCCCTTCCCGCACTCTTGGTCTCTTCTGGGACTCTGCCGGCACCGCCTGCAGTGTGGGCTGTGTGGATGAGGCAGGCGGGCTCCTGGGACCTCGGTGGACGCTGCTGCGCTGACCCAGCAGGTAGCGCTGCCTGCTCTTTGTAACCCTGCCTGCTCTCTCCACCACAGGGGCCCTCGTCCTCAGCTGTAGCACTGCTGAGAGACAGGTGAGCTTTGACAAGGGGTGGGACAACGTGTAGTTGTCCCCAAGGCCGGCTGAGACAAGGCACCTGTTGGCCAGGTTACCTCGCCGCCCCGGCGGACTCATCATCATCGTCACAGCTGCAGCCCTAGGCTTTGTCCCTCCTCAGGCACAGGGGTTGGGGCCCCCATGGCTTCTCTTCCAGGCTGTGACCAGTGCCAGGAGAGAGACCAGCCAGAGCGAGGCTGTGAGCGCAGTGCCAGTGCTGGTTTCTGATGGCCTGCAGGCTGCGCTGTGCAGCCCCCTGGGGGGGGGGGGGATGGGCGTGCACGGGCAGTGCCAAGCCCCAAGACCGGGGCTGTGGCTCAGACGAGGGAGGCACGGCATGGACTTTTACCACACAAGTTTATTTAAATAAAAGTGAACGCGTATGCAGGCTGGTGCCCGGGGAAGGGTGGGGTGGGATGGGGAGGCGGAGGCACAGGAGGGTCCAGACAGTCTGTGTGGTGTGAGCCAGGCTGCAGGAGGGGGCGGCGGGGCCTTGGGGCAATGCTGGGGGCAGGGGCTGGGGTGGGGGCAGGGCGGGGGAGCCGGTGCCAAGGGGTCATTTCCATCCCTCGCATGCGCCCCTCCCTCTCCCTGGCCCCCAGGCCTCCAGCACTGCCTCCTTTGGCCCTCCCTCCCTCTCCTGACGTCAGCATTCCCCTGCAACTGCGGGGTGGGGGGGAGGAGTCAAAAGACAAAATAAATAATCGGCGAGTCCTGCCCCAGCCTCCACCGTGGGGAAGGGAAGCCAAGCCAGGCACACTGCCCCTGCGCCCACGCTATCAGCCCTGGAAAAGAACAGGTAAAGTGCAAGGAAAATCCAGTAAGTAAAAATATACCAATGACTTTGTGAAATATACAGCTGCTGGCTGTCGGGGAGCAGGGGACTGGCTGGGCGGGTGGCAGCAGCACCCTAGGGAGTGTTGGCCAGCACAGTATGGAGACAACGGAAATAAATAGGGGTGGGCAGTGGGCAGGGGTCCCGCCCACTGGGCCTCTGCCTGCTCACCTGCCCCCCACCCGCCACGCCTCGCTAGCCCGGCTCCCCAGTGCTGCGGCACTGACACAAAGCACCAGGCTGGCCGCTGGCTGTAAGGAAAGGGTTATAATGTGGGGACAGGGGCGGGGAGGGGAGGCACGGGAAGCCGTGCAGTCAGCCGGGGCTGCAGCCGCCCTCAGTACTCGTCCTGGTCTTCTTGTTGGTGTTCCTCGATCTCGTCGTCCTCAGGGGGTGCAAATCCTTCCTGGAAGGGCGGGAAGGGACAGGGAGGTGGTGAGCCGGCGGGCCAGGCTGCGGGGTGGGGGGTGCACTCTGGGGCTGGGGGCCTGGAGTTCTGGCATGGCGCTCCCTGCTGGTGGCTCTGCGTGGCCCAGGGCTGGGGGCTGCACCCCATCCTCAGCGCTCAGGAGCAGGCCAGAGCAGGGGTGTGGCCTGGGGGCCGGCAGGTTTGGGGGGGTGAGCTCACCTCTGTGGCATAGAGAATGCCGATGATGCCCGAGATGACGGGGCTGTTCTCACTCTCGTGCTCCTGGCAGATGAGCTCAATGTCACGCAGTTTGCTGAAGTAGAAGTCACGCTCCTTCTCCAGCCCGTCCACCGTCAGCTTCAAGTCCAAGAGCTGCTTGGGCAGAGGGGACCTTCAGCCAGAGGCCCCTGCCTTGGGCCGCCCCCTGCCCTCGCCTCTCGGCCCAGCCTGCCCTCTGGTCCCAGCGGGGGCAGCTTGCTTGCACCCGTCCCGCCCACCTGCTGGTTGAGCTCGAGAATCTGTGCATCGGTCTCGTGGCCGCCGTTCCGGGCCGCCGGCGGGTTCTTGCGGAGGATGCAGGGTGGGGCCACGTTGCTCAGCCGGCCAGAGGTCTGCATGTTTTTGGGGCCTGTGGGAGATGTTCTCTGTGGAACTGCCCGGAGGAGAGGAGGCAGATGAGGCCATGTGAGCTCACGGCTCTCACGTCCGGGAAAGCCCGGGTGGAGGACGGCAGGGGCAGGCCCATGCGACAGGCAGGCACCCCCACCCCCCCAGGGCATCTACATCTAGGCCTCGAGCCTCGGCCACACGTGACACTACAGCAGCAGGGCAGCCCTCTAGCAAGCCTGGGAGCGCAGGGTCTACTGGGTAGTAGGGGGCGAGGTGGGAGGGTGGGGACATGAGCTACACAGGGCAGGCAAATCTGGAGAGGTGGGTGGGGCTGGAAGGGTGCAGGGGTCTCCTGTACTGACAGCTGGAATGGGAGGAGCAGTAGCTGGTACAGGGGACTCCTGACAAGCCCCAGCCCAGAGCCACCCCACTGGAGGCTACACAGGAACCCCGGCCCCGCCCCTCCGGCCCTCTGCTGGCCGGGACCCAGGGAGCCCGCTGCAGCCCAGCGCGGCCGGCCGGCATGCGGGGCATGCGGTGGCTACTTTGCTGTCTAGCCCTGCCCAGTGGCAGAGGCTGCTTCTAATGCAAAGCAAGCGGGGAGAGTGGCGCGGCGCAAACGGAGGAGGTGGCCCTGCTATGACGGGCTCAGGCGCGGGCTGGGGCTGCTCCTCTGCCTCTCCCTCTGCAGCCCTGCTGTCCCCCCTCCAGCAGGCTCCACTGCTTCTCTACCTGCCTCTCTAGGACCCGGACAAAGCCCATTTTGTGGGACTCATCTCCTTAGGACTCAGGGCTCTGGGCCTTTGGAATGGAGAAGACACAAACAAGTTCCCACACCCGTGCCCCTGGCATCCAGTGGGCAGCAGGCCAGAAGGGGCTGTGGTGCTGGCCTCAGGCCCTTGGCTTGGGCGGGCCCCAAGCAGACAAACCATGCCACCTCGGGCGCCATCGTCTTGCGGCAAACAAGGGAGCCCGTACCCAGGGCTCCCTCCCACCAGCTGCCGCCGTGGCTGGAGCTGGTGGCTCTTCCCTTAGAGCGGTTTCTGGAGCCCTCCTGCCCCCTACGGTGACCCCCCCTGGTCTACGTGGGGAGCAGGCGGCGCCATCTGAACTCCGTGATAACAGTCTCCTCCAGGCTGGCGGGGCCGGGCGGGTGGCCCCGGGGGCGCTCCTGGCTGAGGAGCCCCGCCGGCCCGGCCCCCCACACTCCCTCCCCCGGCTCGGGCACGTTACCTGCTGTGCCAATGAGTTTCTTGGATTTGTTGAAGATCTGATCACCTGGGTTAGGAGGTGGCGCTACGTCCTGGCCCTGCCGCGCCAGCAGAGGGTTGTAATCCTTTCCATCATAGTTTGCGTCAAAGAATTTCTTAAACCACTGAATAAACTCAAAATTATCTTGGAATTTTCCTTTCACTAATTTCTCTACAGGAATGATCTGAAATAGACCACACAACAGAGTCCGTTAGCCCCTGCTGCCACACGGCCGCCTCCCGGTGCGAGAGGGCCGCTGCCTTGCAGAGAGCCAGCCCCTGGGCCGCAGCATCTTCCAGCTCCACCACCTGCCCCCCGCCCATGGCACCAGAGCAGACGGGCAGGCTGGCAGGCCTGGCCTGGGAGCTGCACATCCCTCTCCCACAGGCACAGGAAGGAGGATGTGGGAGGTGTCCCCGGGTTCTGCGGCTGCTGCTTGTGGGCTGGGGGCTCGGGACCCACAGCTCTGGGGCCATCGAGGCAGAAGAGCAAAGAGACTTTTCTCGGGACCTACAGAGAAATGCAACTTAATAGGCACAGTACACAGAGGCTCAGGGTCTGCGCTGGGTAGGGTCCAGAGAGGAGGGGGCGGGGAAAGGAGTGTTGTCATTGTGGACCGTCCCATGCGGTAGGGCTTTCCGCTGGGCCTTGGGCTGGGGGGATGCTCCCCCTGCAGACTCAGGGGTGGGGGGCTGTAAGTGCCGGAAATGACCCCACCGACGGCCTGGCTGGCGGGCCATCTTCTCCCTCGGGGTCACACAGCTCCCGAGGGCCCCCGGGAGCGCAGCACCTACTTTGTCGACACCCATCTTCTTGAACGCCGCTTGCAGCACCTTGAAGTTGTGGATGTACTCGTGTTCTAGCTTGGCCTGGAACTTCACCTTCCTCAAGTGCACACAGCCCGGGAAGAGCATGTCCATGAACTGGCAGTAGGCCGCCCCTGTGGAGGGGCGCGGCTGACTGCCAGGCCTCAGCAGTGCCTTTCACTTGCCCAAGCCCCAGCCCCGGTCTCCTCTTCTCTCTCCCTGTCTTGAGGCTGGGGGCAGCCCTCCCTTCAGGACCGACACGGCTGGAATCCCCAAGGATAAAAGAATTATCCAAGAATAAAAGCATGACTGCTTCTGAGGCCTATCATGTACCTGCAGCACACTTAACACAGCAGCACATATGCAGTTTAATCCCAACAGGAACCCCAGCTAGACGGTGCTGTTATCAACGTTTCACAGATGGGAGCGAGCCGCGGAGACTCCAGCCCGGAGGCTGAGCTCTGACCCTGGGTGGCGGGGTTGGGGGCAGGACCTTGTGCTATGACCTTGTGGCTCCGCGCTGTGCCCTTCCTTTCCCTCCCAGGGCGGGGCACCGCCCCACCCCAGCCTCCCACCTGAACAGAGCTGCTCGATCTTGGTATAGTTGAGGTGCAGGGAGTCGTTGACCCACGCAAGCATGTCATGGCGACTCAGATTCTCACTGGTCACGGATGTGGAGTACACATTGACGGCCATACCCCAGCTGCAAAGAGATGACAGACGGGGTGGGGTCAGCCCTGGGGAGGGGCCGCGGGCAGCCCCCCGGGGAAACGGGGTCCCTGCAGACCAGCTGTGCACCTGCAGCTCCCCCTGCAGAGAAGGTGCATTTCCCTGCCCCTCACACACCTAACAGGTGCCCCCAGCTGCGAGATGAGTGCCAGGAGCTGGGGGCACAAAGTGAATCGCGGAAGCCGCGACAGGAGGACGCCCTCTGGGCAGTCACAGAAATGCACCAAGTTCAAGTGGCACAGGGGAGGGGCGGTCTCTGCTTGGCAGGGCAGGGGCGCTGGAGCCTGGAGTAGGAATTTTCCAGACGCACAAAGGGCTGGGGTGGAAGGGCGGCCCCGCGCGAGGACAGAAGGGACAAAGCAGGGCTTACTCCCAGCATGCCTGGTTGCTGTGCCAGCCTGGGGAGCGGGGTGTTGAGTGGGGCATGGCGCAAGGCGGTTGGCAGGGACAGCCCGGGAGCCTTTGTTTACCACGAGGGGGAGTCTGGACTTTCTATTTAGACGCAGGGAAGCCAGTGAGGATCCCAGGGAGACGGCGACAGGGCCAGACCCGTGTTGCAGAGTGCCTGCTCTCTCCTTTCCCTTCATACCCGTGTTCCTGTGGCCCAGAGGCACCTAAATCCCGCTCGTCCTGAATCTTCCCTTAAATTGAGCTTCTGCTCCCATACGCAACCCCGTGAACCTCACCCGGGCCAGGAGCCTGCTCACATCCACCCCTTGTGCGAGGCCTGCAGCCCCACGTCCCCAGTGTGCCCCTGCGTCCCCCACCTCGGTTCTTACACCTCTCCCCAGCCCAGGCAGGCAAGAGCCCCCGAAGGCCTCCCAGCCTCCAGCCCTCCCTCCGCCCCCCGCTCCCAGCCCTTTCAGCCAGCAGTCGTAAACCAGGCACCCACTGGCCGGATTGGCCTCGCAGACTTGAATGGTTTAGCATTCACGGTGTTGGAAACAGTTTTGAATTAGGGGCCAATATTTTAAGGTTGGGACGTCTCACACAAACAATTTGGCTGCTCCTGGCCACTCTGGGCCCATGAACCTGCGCCACCACCAATGGCTGGAGCTGGGCAGGGGCACCCCCCTCTGGCCAGCATGCGTGAGTGCCTGCTCACCACACACCTAGCCCTACAGAGGCCAAGGTCACCGCTGTTGATCACTAACTGGGGTAGCGAGGAGGGAGATATTTCTTGTAACTAGGTTTGTGTCAGAAATGGAGAGACAGAAGCTGGACAAAAAGAACTGTGTGTTCTGAGAACTGTGTGAGTGCCTGCTTCTCGAGTAAAGAATTTCACTCCAGGCTTGACACGCAGAGAGGGGGCTGTGGTTGCAGCGAGCTAAGCTGCTGCCCGCAATGCCAGCACTTCCCCCACATCAGTGCATCGGTTCGAGTCCCAGCAGCTCTGTTTCCAATCCAGCTCCCTGCTAATGCACCTGGGAAAGCAGCAGAAGATGGCCCAAGTGCTTGGACCCCCACCGCCCATGTGGGAGACCCGGATGGAGTTCCAGGCCCCTGGCTTTGGCCTGGCCCAGCTGGGGGCTGATGCAGCCATTTGGGGAGTGAACCAGGGGATGGAAGAGTTTTTTTTTTTTTTTTGACAGGCAGAGTGGACAGTGAGAGAGAGAGAGACAGAGAGAAAGGTCTTCCTTTTGCCGGCACGCTGCGGCCGGCGCACCGCGCTGATCCGATGGCAGGAGCCAGGTACTTATCCTGGTCTCCCATGGGGTGCAGGGCCCAAGGGCTTGGGCCATCCTCCACTGCACTCCCTGGCCACAGCAGAGAGCTGGCCTGGAAGGGGGGCAACCGGGACAGAATCCGGCGCCCCGACCGGGACTAGAACCTGGTGTGCCGGCGCCACAGGCGGAGGATTAGCCTAGTGAGCCGCGGCGCCTGCCGGAAGAGTTCTTTCTTCTCTGTCTTTCCCTCTCTCTCTGTAACTCTGCCTTTTAAATACATAAAAATAAATCTTAAAAAAATTATGCAAAGTGTCTCTGGGAAGAAAGACTGCACCAGTCCACTTCCCTGTCCCCTGGAGGCATCTGCTGTGACACAGTGGCCCCTCCTGGCCACCACCCCTCTCCCCAACAGACCCAGCTTTAGCTCTAGCCTCAGCTCCCACTCTGCTCCCTTGGTCAGGGGCCACAGGCAGCGAGAATGCTGTCCCACCCCGACTTCATTCATTCTCTGCTCCAGGGGTCTCGACCACCGTGCTCCCCGGACCAGCAACACCGCGGCTCCCAGGGCGTCAGCTTGTTAGGAAAGCCCCAGACCTCCTGAATCAGAACCTGCCTCTGCCCAAGGAGCCAGAAGCTCATCCAAGTCTGTGAATCACTGTTCAGCAGCTGCCCCAGCCCGCCCCCAAGCATTCGCCACAGAACCTCATTATTTGCACGCAGAAATTACATGAACTTTTGGAAGAAGAATCATGAGAGAAAACCCTCATATTTATTCCTAGTCCTTCCTGCTTTTAAAAATAAACCCTGTCCTTCCCTGCACAGGGAAAGGGAGCCAGACAGGGCCCCAAAGCCAAGAGAAACAAACGTGGTTGGCTGGACAGCCTTTAAGGACTCGGGAGCTGGCAGTTCCAGAGATTTCCCAGGGCAATTCTGCCTGCACGCGCGTCTCCCCTCACGCGCTGGCTCCGAGCCCGCTGCGCCGGACCCGACCCTCGCGCTCACCCCCGAACCTGTTTAAGTGCTTGCCCCTGGTCAGGCAGGAGCAGGGAGTTCAGACCCGCCGCTGCGAGGGAGTCAGGAACCCCGGTGAGCAGCTGAGCAACCCCTCCTCTGGCCTGTCCTTTCTCTGGTTGTCCTTCATCGCCTTGTGGCCCTGGGGTCCCCACCCCTGCTGGGTTTGTAGGACTCAGTTTGGGTGTCAGCTCCAGGACCCTTCTCTGCCCTGCCTCTGTCTCTGCAGCACTGGGGAGCCTGGGCGGTATCCCGGCACTCGGCAACTTCCGTGGCCGCCACCACAGCCCCCACTGTTGGGTTCCAGACGGACTGCCTCGCCACGTGGGTGGCATGCGCTGGCAGGGACTGGGGTTGGGGGTGTTATCTGCCTCCAGGGACTCGCCCCAGGTAACGGCAGTGGGAGTGGGCGAGGGCCAGTGGACAGGATGTTTCTAAAGAGGCAAAAAGGTAGGGTCCAGGGGCCAGCGCTGTGGCGCAGCGGGTTAATGCTCTGGCCTGAAGCATCGGCATCCTATATGGGCGCCGGTTCTAGTCCCGGCTGCTCCTCTTCCCATCCAGCTCCCTGCTGTGGCCTGGGAAAGCAGTGGAAGATGACCCAAGTCCTTGGGCCCCTGCACCTGCATGGGAGACCTGGAAGAAGCTCCTGGCTCCTGGATCCTGGCTTTGGATCAGCGCAGCTCTGGCCATTGCAGCCAACTGGGGAGTGAACCATTGGATAGAAGACCTCTCTCTGTCTCTCTGCCTCTTCTCTCTCTGACTTTCAAATAAATAAATCAATAAATCTTAAAAAAAAAAAAGAAAGAAAGAAAGGTAGGGTCCAGGAGAGTCCCTTATTCCAAGGAGAATTCATTTACTTATGGACTGTGAGACATGGAAAGGATTTGCTCCTGTCCTTGGGAGTCGATGATCTTACCCAGGAGACAGACACACATGAGGGTGGCACAGCCAAACGCCCCCGAGTGGTGGGCACAGGCAGCATGGTTGGCGGTCAGGAGGAGCAGGCACAGAGCGAGCCTCCGGCGGCCAGAGTTACGTGTGCTCAGGCTGCCAGGTGTGCAGGCTGCCTGCAGAGGCCTTGTCCACGGGCTTGGAGACTCATTTCTCCAGGAGGCCCTGGGAGACGGTGATGCCGCGCCAGCTCTGGCTCCCACACTGCTGGGCCTCAGGGGGTGGGGCTTCTTGGAGTGGTTCCGGGGGTGCAGGGTGGTCTTAGTTGGCCCTGGCAGTGCCTGAACCACTTTGGGGATTTTGTCCTGTTGAACATGAGCTTCAAGAGCTAAGTACTGAAGTGAAGCAGAACCATGGTCCCCGTGCAAGCTTGTGAGCTGCGGGGGTCTTCCAGCCTGAGGGCAGCCTTCCGGGGGCTCCAGGCCGCTCCCTGCATTGCAGAGGTCTTCTCCTGGGCAGGAGGAGTGAAGCAAGCATGTCTATGTGGTGTATCACACACACACACACACACACACACACATTCCACAGCGGATGCATCTGCTTAGCTGGGGTTCACTGCCTGTGTTGCAGTGGCACAAGCAGGGACTGGGCTATTTTGCCACCTCCCTGGGGAGCCAGTGTCAGCCATCTCCTTCCGTGGTCCACAGGCCTTGTTATCAGGGCCCTACGAGTCTGCAAGAGCTACAGAGCTCTTTGGAAAAGGCCCAGCGCTTCTCAGCATGGCCAGAACTTCCCTGTTCTGTCAGTGGCTGATGGCGGGAGGGCTTTTTCCACACCTAGATCAGTCTGAATCTAAAATTGCCCAAGGGCCTGTAAGAAGGGAGTTGGAAAAAAAAAATGGCTCCTTTAAGAGCCCGGCAATCCATCATGCTGCCACCCCGGGGGGCTTTGGAAGGGGGCAACTGATGCTAGGAACACAGCCTTTGTCTCCACTCAGGACTGGCTCAGGTCCTCTTTTCTCTCTCTCTCTTTCTTTCTTTCTTTCTTTCTTTCTTTCTTTCTTTCTTTCTTTCTTTCTTTCTTTCTTTCTTTCTTTCTTTCTTTTTGACAGACAGAGTGGACAGTGAGAGAGAGACACACACACAGAGAGAAAGGTCTTCCTTTGCTGTTGGTTCACCCTCCAATGGCTGCTGCGGCTGGCGCACCGCACTGATCCGAAGCTAGGAGCCAGGTACTTATCCTGGTCTCCCATGGGATGCAGGGACCAAGCACTTGGGCCATCCTTCACTGCACTCCCGGGCCACAGCAGAGAGCTGGTCAGGTCCTCTTTTTAAAATGCATTTATTTGAAAGGCAGACAGACAGATACACACACACACACACACACAGGTCTGCCATCTGCCGTT